GAATCTGATACTTTTATACTTGCAACATATTTCGAAGAAAACTTGAGATATCACCTCTTGGTTAATTAGTTTTCATCTTTGTGGTTTGTGTTTCAACACTCGTAATCATTTTCTACTCTTTAATTAATCTCCTTTGCTGATCTCTTTAATGGTAATTCGATTGCATTTTTCATTTTCATCTTCCTAACAAGTGATTGATAAATCGGTTAGACGGTTTGTTTAGTCTCCTTCACTCGAAACAAATATCATATTGGTTGAGGTATGATTGGTTGTTGCTTCCATCTTACCGGATCATACAAGAAGTCGTTTCAATTCAACCGGCTCTTGCATTTGGGCTGGACCCATTTACTCGTCAATGGAGATCCATTTTGCCATCCTAGAGAAGCACAAATTTGAAATTCACCAACATTAAGCAAGAAAAAGGAGAGACAAAGCCTTATTTCAAACTTGTCGGCCTCCCAGCAATTTTCGATTAGTTTCCATACCCAGAGAAACACCAATGTCCGATTACGTTTCATTCTTCGAGAAGCACCAATGTTTGAAATAGTATGCAAATTCACCATTTTAGCGATTGCTTTGTTTGTTTATATATAAACTTGTTTTTGGCAGTTGCCTTGTCTGATGAGAGGTTTCAAGCTGCGTTAGTGCTGAACATGTAGGCTTTGTTTTCGAAATTTTTGATGTTTGTTTTCGTTTTCGTGACATTGATTCATTTATATATAAGATGGACAAAAAAGAAAAGTAAAGATTTTATTTACTTGATTAATAAAGGAAATAATTTTAAAAGAAAATAGAAAAGCTCATGGATATTACCTAAATAATGCGATACCGACTAATAATGAATGTATTAGGAGAATTTAAAGGGACGACAAATTGTATAAAGATCCCTCCCCACTATTGCGATACGCAGCCACTTACATAGATATTCTGAAAACCTAATTCTTGGGAGAAAGCGATCATGGCAAAACTGAAAGTTGCAGGGACATGGGGAGGCGTGATCGAGGTGGAACTCGGGAATTGGACTCTACTCATGTTGAGAGAAGAAGTCGCTAAGCGATCAGGCCTCGATCCTGACTCCATCAAACTAATTTGCGCCGGAAAAATCCTCAAAGATGACGGCGATGCTACTCAGACGCTTGCGCAATTGGGTATTAAGGAAAACTCCAAAATCCTCTCCAGTCGTGGTGCTGCTCCCGAAGAAGGCAAGTCTCTCATGGCCGAGGAAGAAAGGTCCAGACGTCTCTCACGTATCAAGTGAGTCTTGTTTCCGATTCATAGGCTTATCGTATTCTTGTGTTGTGGATAGAATTTCACTGTCATCTGTGACTACAGTTAGTTCCTTGGTATAAAGTTAGTATTTTGCCGCCTTTCCAATTTCTCAATTCTTGTTCCTTTGCTTTATTTAGCTGTTTGGCCATATGACTCTTTGATGGATGATTGGTTATTTCTTTGTTCCATCTGCGATTCTGAAATTTCCCTCCTTTTTAGTTAGTATGTAATGTAGGTCTCCTTTGTAGAATTATAAGTTTACCATGATAGTCTGACCTGCCTGCTAATGTGAATCTTGTAGAGCTGCAGCTACTGCCTTGTCCAAGAGACACGCTGATGGTTCATTGCCGATCGAAGACTATAACATAGAGCTGGAGGATCAGGGAGGTCATACAGTAAAGTTTGGAACGGAGACTGATCAGCGGTATTGCTCACTCATGTTGGAATACGAAACTGCTACCTGATCTTCCATGCTAATGAAATCGTTTTTTTGTTTTGTTCCACAGTGCAGCAATGATGGGCCTTATGTTACATACCAAGGGAAAAAGTCTAATAGGAATGGAAATGTATTCTGATGCAGTGGAAGTGCTTGCCATGGCAGAGGTAAGTTGCTACTGCTGGGAATCGGTTTTGCTTGCCATATTGTATATTGTTTTTTCCAAGTACGTTTCTGTTGTGGGAGTGATTTAGCAACAGCTTCCTGATTTGGTTATGTGTTTCGCAGGAATCGTTCTTGCTCTGTGATCCCAAGATTCTCGAGGTCTTTTCTCTGTCCTTTGAATTTACTTTCTGAATTGCCTCAATGGGTATTATTTATTTTTAGTTTTGTCCGTTATCTAATCTCCATTTCCAGCATATGATGTAAATATTCATCCTCTTGTGTAATTTCTTTTTAAACTTATAGCTAATGATATTTACTTGTTTTCTGAGTCTATGGAAAGCTGAATTCTCCTCGCTTGTGTTTTTTTACATGGCTGTAATATATTCTTACAGTTTGTTGACAACATCCCTATAATGGAAATCGACATTGTATGGTGCTATTTCTTGCTCCGGGACGTCAAATGCCTGTCAGATGCTGGTGTTCGCCTTGAAAAAGCAAGGAAAGGACTCGAGCGTGCTCATGGGAAGGACCTCTCTCGTGTGAGACTCCTCCAAGCTGGCCAATGTCCCGAATTGGCACTGTGAGTTCAGCCCATTATACTTGCGGTTTTATGCAGAGTTAACTTTTTTATTGAAAGAGATTTTTTGTTTCTACTGGCTAGATATGTGAGACTAGAGTTACTCGAAGGTGTAGTGGCATATCACACTGGTCAACATGATAAAGCCTTGAATACTCTGAAGTCCGCCCATGCAAAATTGTTGCAGGTCAGTTAGTTGTACTGTACTAACTTCACTCTTACTGATATTCAAATGTCCCAGAGTTAATGTTGGTGGGAATTCTGATGCAGCTCCAAGTACCTGATGAAACGCTGTCCTTAGTTATGGGTATGGGCTTCCAGGAGAAGGATGCTAAGAGAGCTTTGCGACTGAACAATCAGGATATTGCGAGTTCTGTTGATTTTCTAATTGAAGAGAGGGCAAAAAGAGCTCAAAAGCGGAAGGATGATCTCAAGAGACAAAAAGAAATACTGTATGATCTTTTACTAAATTTATACTAGTTATGATCATAAACTGTAGTGACTTCAAATAAACACACTTGAGCTGATATTGCAGTGAGCAGAAAACGTTTGGAGTGACTCCCATGAATAAAGCTGTTGATATGCAAATGCTTGACAGGCTCGTCTCTATTGGGTAAGCAACGCACTGTAAATAGATCTATTGTTCTTATCTTCTGGTACCATACAGAGTTGTTAAGAAAATATAAGTTAAATGACTCTTTTCAAACTCGTTATGAAAAGAGTTAACAAGGTATCAAAACATTCTGTGAAAGTGCTGACCTTTGTAGATAAACCTAGAAAGCCCTCAAGTTCCCTTTATATTAACAAGAGTCGTTAGCTACTGAAATAACTATGTCTTTGGTGGTTTTTTCAATGCCTTATTTTGATATCTGGATTTGTAACCTTTCATATTGTTTTAAGCATTGAGCATGACTTAAAGAACTTACCTTTGCAGATATGCGAGGGATCTTGCTGCTGAATCTCTTCGGAGAAATGAGAATGATTTTCAGGAAGCCCTTGATGCACTTACAAACCCAAAAGTTAATTCGAGTATACAGGTATACATTGAAACAAGGAAAAGAAAACGACAAGAACAACGAGCTGGCACAACAGTGGAAGAACTTGTTTCTATGGGCTTTGGACGTGGACAAGGTAATTTACTCATCTGGATAGAGTATCCTCATTCGCTTATATTGTCGAAGTGGATGGTAGTAAATCGACGAGATGCCATTAAATCTTTGCTTTGCATTGCAGCAACCTCTGCTTTAGAGGCAGGTGGCAGCCGAGAGGATATCATCCAAAGGCTACTATCTTCATCTGCAGCAAACCCAGGAATGGCTCCTCTTACAGACAATGGCGGTGCAGAGAGTAGTACCAACAATGTGGCTCGAGAAAGCATATCCAATGAAATGGATGGTGAGGCAGAGCAGGAGCACTCTGAGATGAAAGATGAAGCAATGGATGAGATTGCAAACGAAGGAAGCACATCCGGTGAACCCAATGGTGGTGAAGATCGGGACTCAGAGATAGAAGAAGAAATAGCAGATGAGATTGCACAGGTTGATGCTTTGTCAGCTTATGATATCAGTCTTGACAGGGAAATTGAAGCTATAAATGAGTACCTGGACATGTTAGATGCATCCCAGGATTCTCCTTGAAGAAAGCTATGTTGATTCAGAAACTTGTGTATATAAACGAATAATAGTCACCGGAGTTATTGCAGGGCCAATCTGGGTTGGTATGGCACCTTGCTTTATTTAGTATTTAGTATTCTGATTTGCTTTACTGAAACTGATTTAGAGCGTGATTTATAACCATAGTATTTAGTATTTAGTATGATGATTTGCTTTAGTGAAACTGATTTATAGGGTGATTTATAAGCATAATATTTACTATTTAGTATGATTTGCTTTACTGAAACTGATTTATAACCATAGTAGTTAGCTGCTCTTTTGGCTAGAATTTAAACAAATATTTCGGGACCATGTGGACTTACAGCAAATTTTTTAATTTCCCGTCTCCAAG